CTCTTCCCTTAAAGGCAGTAGGTTTTTTATTGCTTATTGGTTTTTTATTGCTTATTGGGAGTTGGGGATGTGAGTAGGGGACATGTTCTTATCTTCCTTTGCTAGGTCTCAAACTATTCCACCTCTAACCCCCCCAGACCTGAAGATTCAAGGGGAGACCCATGACAGTATTGAAGATGCGCGCACAGCCCTTCAGCTTTACCAAAAGTATCTGGAGCTAAGCAAAAATGGCACTGAGCCCGAGTCCTTCCACAAAGTGCTCAAGGGCCTCTATGAGAAGGGCCGAAAGATGGACTGGAAGGTGCCTGAGCCTGAGGGCCAGACAAGTCCCAAGAGTAAGGCCTGGGATGGGACAAGGGAAACTGAACTGGGTGGGTTTTGATTGCATATGTGACAGTTATACCCACCATAATAATAATGATGATGTTAACAACAGTACCATCCCTACCTTATATACTTGCAAAGCACTTAACTGTACAAAGCATTTAATCCAACCATCAGTGAAATAGCTTTTGTTGCTGAGACTCTCCTCTTGGCCAGTTCTAAATGTTTGGGGCAGGTCCAAGCCCTCTTTCCTCTTGCATTTTTCCTTCCTAAGAAGAATCCAAGGTACTTTTTCTTCACTCACCTTAAGAGTCAATGTTCTTGGTTTTATCTCTGACAGATGCAGCTGTTTTTTCTTCAGTGCTGGCACTCTGACCTCATCCTCTCCCAACCAGCTTCTGCCTCTCCCTTCAGTGTTCTGCGGCCTCAGAACTGGGAGATAGCTTCCTAAGTTGGCTATACCCTGTCTACTTCCAGAATTGAACCTGCTCAGGGTTTACAGGTGGTGCTATTAATAGAACTGGAATGCAACAGAATTGTTGCAAAGGGTCTAGCAGCCAGATTCCTTTTACATCCTTTGCAAAAAACAGAGTCTAGATGAAAAGTAATTGGTATTCTTAATAAATATCCTGGGTGATTAATATCCAGGCAAAGAAGATCCTGGAACCAAAACTTTCAGTTCCTAGTTGGCTAGGTACTGGAGAATAACCAGATACAACAACAGTAGTTCAAGACTTAGCTCAAGCTCAAGCCTGTGACTGCTTGAAGAATGCCAGGAAGCCAGCATACAGAGTCTTGGTGGCCCTAGCAAACCAGTGTTGCCAACACCATCATTGCCAAAAGGGCCTTTGAGTCCAAGACGAAGCTTGGCTGCTGGCTCCTTCCTGCCGACAGCTGAGAAGCATCTGTCTTCCATCCACTCCACTTTCCTGTTACAAGTTTCGTTTTCTTGTTATTTTTTAAAGTTTTGTTTTAAACTGCATGTTTTATAAAATAAAAACAAAAATATTATTGACTGTCATCTATCTCATTGGAGACCTGCGAGTGTGGGGTTCTCTTTGGCCTTCCTCTCCTTTCTCTGTGTTGTCTATTATAAATGGGGAAATCTAAGGCCTTTAAATTCCCACTTAGAATTAAAGGTAAAGCTCTGTGGAGTCCAAAGTTAAGGATATTGGAGGAGTATAAATAATGTCTGACCTGGACAGTGTTAGGTCACTGCTGTGGCTGCCTCAGGTCGGTTTCTTTTAAGACGTAGAGTCGGAATTACCAGGTAACGGTGGAAGGGGAGTGGAGAAGCTGACAAACTACAGGTCCCAGGACACCTTACAACCTGTGGCTACTAACAGGGTCTGCGTGGTGCTGCGGTGCTCCCTGGGAGATGTAGTTTCCAGAGCATTGAAACGAGCTTTTTATTCTTATTGTTGAAAGTATTACAAAAGTAATATATGTAAATCGGGCTTC